CTGAGGCTGGGCCTGGGGCTGGGGTTGGGACGAGGGCTGGGACGAGGGCTGGGGTTGGGGTTGGGGTTGGGGTTGAGGCTGAGCCACAGGCTCAAGCTGGGGCTCAGATTCTTTCTCTTCTTTTTCCTCAGACTCCTTTTCCACTTCTACAGCACTAACATTCTCTTTCGCAGGAGAAAGAGACTTACATTCTTTATCTGGCTCAACTTCAAATTCCATCTCTGGCTCCAATTCTTTACTAGTTTCATTTTCTGAAGGTTCTATACTTTCAACTTGATTAGTTTCCATTACCTCTTGCTCAGCAATTACATTTTTGACATTTTCAACCATCTCTAGCACATCCATAAGTTCTTCAGGCTGACTATCCTGCTGCTTCTCATTTTCCCTTACCTCGGTTTCTTCCTCCATCTTAACTTCCATTTCCTGTTTCTGTTCCTCTTCCTCCTGTTCTTTCTCTGCATCACTATGAATTATACCTACTTCCTTTTCCTCTTCCTCTCCTGCTTCCTCCACTTCTACATCATTGTGCTGATTACCTGTCTCCTCCAACTCTTCCTCTCGCTGAGCCACCTTACCCTCTTCTTGTTCCGCCTTCTGTTCTTCATTACGCACCACCTGATGCTCTTTTTCCTTCATTGATTGTCTTCTAGGCCTAGCCTCCATTTTATTTATTTGTTCTGCAAATTCGATGCGTCTACTTTCAAATAAAGCTAAAGGATAAAAATTTACATGTGTAAAATTTACTATTACTACAAAGATTCAAAGTCAAAATTTTTTACCTGATCACAAACTGTCATTAAGCTTCATCTAAAAGTGTTCTTGTAAAGAAATGGATAAGATTGAATACAGCAATTACAAACATGAAATGATAAAAGCAAAAATCCACTACATAACTATACACTTAGAAATTAGTACACAAAACTAGACTATCAAGTTAATGTTATCTAATTAATGGAAAATCAGGTCTATCATGCTGCTTAACTTTTATGCTAAAGAAAAAAAAACTTACTTAAAAATATACAAGTATTATGGCATCATATTATGCTTTCGTTTTTCTGATTTCAAGGAGACAAATCATCTAATCACTGCATTAGTAGTGTCTACCCTTTTTTCTTTGTATTATTTTTAGAGAGATTTTTGATGTAGGGTGTGTATACTCACTGTAGGGGGAGAGAGAGACAAACAGGAAGTAATTGTTCCCAGGGGGATGGCCACACCACAGTCCCTTCTCCATTTTCCTCAGATTCTGGGCACACATGCACATGCACCCAGCATGAGTTTTAAGGCACTGGGTTCAGGGCTATAACCACAATCAACTATGTAGGAGTCTAGCAATGTACCCAATACTCCATCTGCTGATCCCAGTAGTGTCTACCCTACTATGTGTGCTTCCTGTATGAACTAATCAATGTTTGCCTTGTCTTGCTTCATTAGCATTTTTATTTGGTTACTAAGATTACCAAGCAAAAAGATGTAATCTTACACAATTGCTTAAAAAATGTATGGGCCATGAGGTGGTGTGGTGCTTGGGGGTGCTGGATTCCCACATGGCCAACCATGGTTCTGGACCTGGCAGCTTGCTTTCTCAACTTCCCTTTCTGTCTCTGGTCAAATTAAGAAATAGTAACAACAAATGGAATTAAATAGTTCTTAAAAAATCAATCTACCTATCTATCTTTGAGTTCTAGATCTGATAGCTTGCTTTCCAGCTCTCTCTCTCCCCCTCATGGTATCCCTCTCTGATCAAACTAAAAGGAATAAATGAATAAATAAAGTAAAATAATTATTAATTAAAAAAAGATTCTATCATGAAAGGGGCATGGTGGTTAAAGGACTGGATTCCCACAGGGGCACTGGACTCCCACATGGCCAACCATGATTTAAATCTCAGACATGGCAGCTTTCTCTGTCTCTCTGGTCAAATTAAAGATAATAATAAATAATTACTTTTTTAAAAAGTGTCCCAGAAAAACATTTTTAAAATTCTACCATGAAATAAATACTCCTGGGGACCAGCGGTTGGCGTAATAGCTATGTTGCTGGACCCCCACGTAGTCGACCATGGTTCGAGTCCCAGACCCAGTGGCTTTAACTCATGCCAGGCACATGTGCAAGCACACCCAAAATCCCAAGAGGAGAATGGAGAAGGAAGGCCATCCCACCTAGGAAGTGATTTCTTGCTTTTCGTCTGTCTCTTCTTTCTGGCAAAACTCTCCCCCCTAACCCCCCCCCCAAAAAAAAAAGAACGAAATAGTCCTGTATCAAAGACCTCGTTAGTATTCCAGGAAAAAAAAGTCAACAAATTAACTATTAAATCACAATTTCAGGAAAGAAATGTGTACAAATGTATTACCTTATCCAGTAAGATTTCAATGCACTTTATGAACTTACCATTCATTTTTCTCTGTGACTCTTCTATTAGTTTTTGGGTAGCTGGACACATTCTTCCAGGAATATAAAACAAATGGGGCTTTGTCTTAGTTCTTATATATTTAATTATCTTGGCATTATGCTCATTCCATTCTTCTTGCTTAAAACAAAACAAAAAGTACAAGCTCAGTAGATTTGTCAACATGAATTAACCAATTTTAGAATTCTAAAACCCTACTCACCAGCTGTGCAAGCTCAACCTTTTGTTCCAAAAGTCGCAGTTCTGTCTGTTTAGCACGCCTCTCCTCAAACAGTTCTCTCCTCTCATTTTCAACCTGTTTTCGCTCTTCTTCTGCCTGAACTTCAAGTTTCTGTTCAATTTCTTGGCGCCTCTTTTGCTAAAAATATGCAATCTGCTTTAATATTTGTATAATAATAGATAAAATAATCAAGGCATATTTGATTCCAATTTTCAATTATCTAAAAGTTTATTACTCATTCTGATTGTGTGAGCCACTACAATTTTATTAAGTAAAATTATCTGTTGTATGTTTCACCATTTCCAATTAAGGATGCCAACTACTAGTAATTCAAATTTAGGATTTAGCATTTGGAACTGGTTTCAATTTGTCTTTTAGGAAATGGAGACCAAGTCTTTTCACACAAATTCCTAAATTTGAAGATCATAAATCATAATATAAACAACTACGCTATTCCAACATGGACAATAGGGCCAGCAGATGGTGTGGAGGTTAAGGTAGGTGGATCCTACATAGTCAACTCTGTGGTTTATACCCTGGATCTAGCAGCCTGAAAAAACACACTGGCCATGTATGCACATGTGCCCAAAATCCCAAAAAGAGAATGGAGAAGGGATTGCTGAGAAGCCATCCCCCCTAGGGGGTTATTTCTCACCTTCCCTCTCTGTCTCTGTCAACTACATGCTCCCTATAGCCAAAAGTATTTAAGAAAAAAAAAGCACTGTTTTTAGAGGCTATCTTCAGTTATTCTTTCCAAATTAAAGAACTTAACATAAGCCCTAACTAATTAACACAGTAATCATACTTCCCCTCATTTCGGAAAATTATCAACTTATTCTTCAAACATTAGTATGCTTTTTTTTTTTTGGAGAGATTTTCACTGTAGGGCACGTGCGCTCGCCAGACAGACAGAGAGAGACATAGAGACAGAAAGCAAGAAATCACCCCCCAGGGGGGATGGTCATGCCGCAATCCCTTCTCCTCCATTCTCCTCTCGGGATCTTGGGCACGCACGCACACGCGCCTGGCATGAGTTTTAAGCCACCGGGTCCGGGACGCGAACCGCGGTCGACTACGTGGGATTCCAGCGACATAGCCATTACGCCAACTGCTGGTTCCCCAAACATTAGTATGCTTTTTAAACCTTTTACATTCTCAAAGGTAACACCTCAAAGGTGGGATAAGAATGTATTAATCTCTGGGGCCAGCAGGTGGTGTGGTAGTTAAAGGCACCAGACTCCCACATGGTTGACCATGGTTTGAGCTCTGGACTTGGGAGGTTTGCTTTCTCACTTTCCCTCCCTCCCTTCCTCTCCCCCCCCTTCTCTCCCTTTCTGGTCAAAGGAAAATAAAGTTAAATAAAATAATTATTCTGAAAAAAAGAATTTATTAATCTCCTTTAACCAAAATTTCATCTCCCTTTCCTTATAGTCTTTCCCCTAAAAGCAGTAACCTGGCTTTAACTTCACAGATACAATTTGTAGCTTTTCTACCGAAAAAATAACAGTTGGCTAAACTATAGGGAATCGTATGTTTTTGCTTCCAGAGTGCTAAATATTGTCTTCCAGTGTATAAATTAAGTCTTAAAAATTGTGTGAGCCACTATAATTTTAGAAAGTAAAACTGAACTTGACAGAGTTCAACTCCTTTCAGAAAAAACACTCTGAGACCTAAAGAAATGAAGAGACTTGTCTAAGACCGCACCATGAGGTTGTTATAGAGCTTAGACTGGAAGCCATATTCTGAAGAGTTACAGATCGGGGCTTTGTGCATGAAAAATAGAAGTTCACTCGATTCTTATCTCAAAACAAGACTTGTTGATAAGAACAACCTCATAAATAAAAATGTTTTTATCTAACTTTATTTTAGGATTGCAATGAAGTCTTTAAAAAATTATGCTTTTAAAAATAAACGAAGCAAGACAAAAATATCAAAAATACCCTTTCAGTAGCAACAGTGGACTCTTGTTTAAATTTCTGAAGCGTGCCCATCAACAAGCCAAATATTCGTCGATTCCTAAACAACAGAAAAAGAAACTCAATTTAAGATCCACTTCATTTAAACCTGCCATTCTCCAACAGCTATTATAGCTCTTGAATAACCACTTCTCTTTCTTTAAAACTGCATTATTTGACAGCTTTTTTCTCCTGGAAGAATACAAAACATACCTTTGCTTTCCCTTTTCATCCATATTTTGATCCTGGATAAGGTCTCTACGTGTACGCTCCTTGGAGGTAGCTACAACTGAAGACTGCAAAGCTGGCTGCAGAAGAAAAGAAAATCTCAGTAACATAACTAGCATATGGGTGACAGGCTTTTAAGAGTATGTGGTGGAGCCAGAAGGTGGCGTGATGGTTGGGGCGCTAAACTTCCACATAGTCGACTGTGGTTTGAGTCCTGGACCTGGTGGCTTTCTCTAAGTGTGCCCACACTCTAGCAGATTAAAACAATAAATAAAATTAAATAATTTTTTTTAAAAATAAAGAGTATGTGGCAAAAGCACTATATTCTTCTAACAAGTTATTTTAACCTTAATACCTTTTTAACATCATCATCCTCTGGGTCGCTTTCTTGGCGTGATTCTCTTCTTGTCCGACGCTCCCCACCCAGCCTGACATAAAACATAATTTAAATGACCACTTTAGATTTTAATGTAAAATTTTATGCCAAAGAAAAATAATAATTTTTTTCTAGGTCTTAGCTACAGAAAACTTACTGTCAACACCCCATTTTATTCTTTCTTACAACAGTGAAAGGATAAAATGTGTCTAATACGCATATCATAAAATAGGTCTCCCATAATATATACTTCTCAGGCCAATTAAGTATTAAAAAGACAATACACAATAGTAGTATGGATTGGCATTTTCCCAGTCAAATTTTTCTCCTGACTTGTTATGAGGGATTGACTCAGTTCAATACCAAGAGAACTCAGGAGAAATGATCAACTATCTGATTATAATACAACTCAATTCAGCAGTGTTTATTAAATACTAACATCTGTACATTTAACTCAGAAGATAGAGAATTAAGAATACCCTCAAGAATCTTTTAACGTACCTACTGACTGCCCCTTCAAGATCTCTCTGTTTGGCTGGGGGTCCTCCTCCGCTATCTGAGAATCCACGCCTGTGATTACAAATGTCCAAAATAAGGCACATCAAATAAAAAATAAACAATTTCGTTTGGGACAGAATTTACTTTAATTTTTAGAAATTCTTTCAATTAAAGTAACTTTAAGTGGCATTCACTCTAAAATGCTTTCACTGCATTTTTTTAAAGACAAGTTTAACACAAAACTGGTACAGATAATATATTTTTCAACCTCTAGTTTTCTATATAAGAGATATTTCAGTATAACTTCACTGATTCAGAAAACTATCCTATCATAGCATTAGACAAAAGACAAAGCAAACACTGTGTTATTCTAACATTGGCTCTATCACTAATTTTGTTCGAATCAAAACATAATTTAGTATAAAAGAAACCTTACCTCAGCAATAAACTACCACGTCCTCTACCTCCACCAGGACCAGAAAGGGCCAGCAATCTGGCTTGGATGGGCCTATTAAGAGATTTACAAACCAGCGTAAGTCATGCACATCTAAGGACATGAAATACTTTCACTGACGGGATGGATCACACAGAGTAAATTTCAAAAGTTCTAAAAAGATGGTTTCAAATCCACGTGTTTCAAGCAAGACAGGAAGTAATACTTCATTCAATTAACGTGTGTTTCCACGATTATCACATAAACTACCTCGATGCCACTACACGTTAACACGCCTGTACCGGTGCTCATCCCGCCCTTCCCAAGAAAGCTGCACATGGGCAAGAGCTGGGGGCGAGGCGGTGCACTGAGTCCCGGGAAGGTCTCGGAGCCAGCCCTGGGCCGGGCGGCCTTCGGAGCGGGAAGCGGCTTTGTGCTGCAGTTCCGGCCCTGCAGGGCCGAGCGCGGGAACTGGCACTTTGGGCCTTCTCACATGCGAGAAGTCACCCCAGCGCACCAAGGCCCCTCTCCCTCTTCACACACCTGAGACCGGAGCCCGAAGACGGTGACCAGGAACCACCCGTCACCGAAGACGTGGTTCTACCGCCGCCCCGGAACAGGCCTCGATGTTTAAGCCTTCTTCAGGGTCGGCCGCCCTCCCTGCCCCCAATACACCCCGACGTGAGGGCTGCCTCTCCCAGGTCGCAGTTCCCCGTCCGGTCTTTACCTCACATCATTTGGATCCCGCCCGGTGAGCTTGCGAATATTCTCATCAACGTTCTTTAGACTCTCTTTGGCCTTTTCTAGCTGCTCCTGCAAAGTTCTCACTGCGACCGCCATCTTCTCCCTGCAGCAGGCTTCGCCACTGCTCTATAGGCCCTGCCCCGCTGTACCGCGCTACGCGACGCGAAAAGACTGACAGCCGAGCTTGGCCAATGACGATAGGCCTTGTTATTCGGCCTCAACCACTAAGCGACCGGAAGGGGGAGAAACTGCCGGCCTTTGTGACTCCGGGCCAATGAGAAGTCGGCCAGGCGGTCGCCTCCTCCCCGGTTAACTGCGGGTGGCTGGGCTCCGCTTCTAGCGCAGCGCGGGGGCGGGTTTGAGAGTCCCTGGGTCCTTGGAGACGTGCGCTTGGAGGCCTGCAGTCTTGGTATGGGAGCGCGGAGTTTCCCAGCGCTTTTAAGCTGTGGGTGTGACGTGCCAACTGTCGTTTTAACTACCTAATCACATCAGGATAGGCCAGAGGCGAGTCTACGTCCCCTCGTTCCCCTAACCCTGTCAATGCTTTACTTAGGAAAGGGCGCGGCCAGTCTGATCACGCGCATGCCTAGAAAGGGGTTGGTGCACGCTTCCCTTGATTAGATTAAAGGGAAGCAAAGAATTAGGGATAGGGAAATAGCCATGTATAACAGCAAATAATTGTTAGGGGCTGGGCTTGTTCTGCACGATGTGTGAAACGCCTTCTATGCCTTATTCCTCACAAACTAAAAGTTTAGCTAAAAATGCCTATTAATAACTGATACGAAAATGGACATTGAAGGTAATACAACTGCCCCTAGTACACAGTATTTGAGAATCACCGTGGGATCAGGCACTGTGAAGCTGTACTAAAAGAATAAAGCAGCGATGTGACAGATGAGGCAGACACGGTTGACAGCCTATTCACCTGACCTAGACCAGGTGGTTGGCTTAAAACCGGGCCTAGGGCACAACCCTAATGTTAGTGGTATGTGTGTCTCTAGCTTGAGTACTATCCACGTAGGAGCTGGTTTTGTTCCAAAATCATATGTATTATGTGTGTTGCTCAGAAAATATTTTCCCCACAGAAGCCATGTTATGAATAATCTCAGCCAGGCATCCTTGTGCTATTAGCTGCCAACAATTCAAGCTACCACAGTAATTCATCAAGTCACCTTTGAAAGCCGCCACAGTGTGTGTATCAGCAGTAAACTAGGTTCTGAGGAGAAAGCCTAGAACAAGAGAGCTGTAGGTCTTGCTTTTGTTGAGTTTGTATTTTCCTGAAGCAGAGATCATCATTTCAAATATTTACTAAGCTGCTGTTATGGGCCAGGCACTGTTCTCGACACCTGGATACATCAGTGTACAACAAAGATCTCTGAAGAAGCTTGGGAGGCAGAATTTGGAGACAGGTTACAAACAAATTATATAGCATTAGGAAAGTGAAAAATGCAGTAGAAAAAAGAAAAGGCAGAGCTACATAAGAACAATTAGAATTGACAGTTATAGGGACCAGCAGATGGTATAATGGATAAATCGCTGGACTTTCATGTAGTCGACTGTGGTTCCAGTCCTGGACCAGGTGGCTTAAACTCACACCAGGTGCATGCCCAAGATCCTGAGAGGAGAATGGAGGAGAAGGGATTGTGGCATGGTCATTCCCCCTGGGGGGCAGATTTCTCGCTTTCTGTCTCTCTGTCTCAGTCTTTCTGGCCAGCGCATGTATCCTATAGGAAAAAAAAAAAAAAACTCTCAAAAAAGAAAAAGAAAATAACTGACAGTTTTATAATTCTGATTGTAAGCATAACTTAACTGATTTTTATTATAATCCTGTATATTAAAGTACTGGAGGTGTGAGAGTGTGGTAATAGTAGATCCTAATCACCAAATGTAACATTTCCATAAGGAACAGACCTATTTAAAAAATTTGTTGGAAGGGGGACCAGCAGATGGCGTAATGGTTATTTCACTGGACTCCCACATAGTACATCAGGCTTTGAGTCCTGGATCCAGCAGCTTGAAACATGCCCAGGCAAGGGTGTGCATGCATGCCCGGGATCCCGAGAGGAAAATGGAGAAGGTGTTGCAGCATGGCCATCTGGCCACGAAGGGTGACTTCTTGCTTTCTATCTCTAGTCTCTCCAGTGAGCTCACATGCCCTATAGCAAAAAGCTCTTAAAAAAACTACCAAAGCATTTTTGGAGGATGGGGCTGGGGCTGGCAGTTGCCTCGGTGGTTAAGGAATGGATTCCCATGGTTCATGTCCTGGATCTGGCAGCTTCCTTTCTCACTTTCCCTCTTCCTCTCTGCCTCTCTCTGGTCAAATTTTAAAAAATAATAATGATAAGTAAAATGAAATAAAATAATTTTAAAAATCTTGTTGGAGGGTGCATATGGTTGCTGGAAAGATGCAGAAACAGAAGGACAGTGAGAAAGTACCCCCACATGGGGTATGATCATGCTGTAAACCCTTCTCCATTTTTCCTTTTGATATTTTTGAGTGCATGTGTACACACGCACCCAGTGTATTTTTCGAGCTGCCAGGTTTTGAACTTGAACCGTGAAGTCAGCCATGAGTGATGCAGCTGCCTTAACCACCATGCCACTGGCTGGCCCAAGGAAAATACTTTTAGCCAAACACATAGGGTCTCAAAAAAAAAAGGGGCCAGGGGTTCCCTTCCTAGGATCCTAGTTTTGTTTTGTTTTTGCTGTAGGACACTGGCATTCACTGGAGAAAGACAGAGATGGAAAGTGAGAACTCAACTCCCAGGGAGAATGGCCACTCTACAATCCCTTCTCTTCCAGTCTCTTCTTGGGATTTTTGGGCACACACACATACACACATGCACCTGAGCAATTTATCCTTTGCTTTGTGGAGGCTCAGTGGAATGCTGTGTTCAACATTAATAAGTCCTAATAAATTAGTTTCCTTTTTATTTTCCGAAAGATTCTTAAAACCCCATGTTATTATAGTTTGAGAAATCAACCTTAGTTGTTCATTTGCTTACCTTTTAACTTCTCTGGTAGCTTAGACTCTTATTCCTTGATGGTGAGGATGAGGAAGCCATCTAGACATAAAAGACTTGATTTCACATACAGAAAATTTTAGTGCTGGAAAAATTAAGATTATGGTGGCAAGATATGTTCAAAATTACACTATTGGGGCCAGCAGGTGGCATAGTATTAAAATGCTGGACTCCCATATGGCTGACCGCAATTTGAATCCTGGACCTGGCAGCTTGAAACTCACGCCAGGTGTTTGTGTGCTCGTGCGTACATGCTCAGGATCCTGAGGGAAGAAGGAAGGGGAGATTGCTGCGTGGTCATCCCTGCTGCAGGGTGGTTTCTTGGTTTCTATCTTTGTGGCAAGTGCATGTGCCCTATGGCAAAAATCTCTAAATTAAAAAAAATTTACACTAGTATTCTCAAAAGCTTAGATGCAACTTTTTGCTTGATTTATGGAATGAATAGGATGAAATGATTCAAACATTTCAAAGGACATGTTTTTTAAAATTCCATAATTACAATGGAACATAATTTTAAATTCTTTTTTATTCTTTTTTTTGGAGAGGCTTTTTTTTTGCTATAGGGCGCCTGCGCTCACCAGACAGACAGAGAGAGACAGAGAGCGAGAAATCACCCCCCAGGGGGTATGGTCACGCCGCAGTCTCTTCTCCTCCATTCTCCTCTCGGGATCTTGAGCAAGCACACACACGTGCCCGGCAGAGTTTAAGCCGCCTGGTCCAGGACTTGAACCGTGGTCGACTACATGGGAGTCCAGTGACATAGCCATTACGCTAACTGCTGGTCCCAAATTCTTGTGAAACGGTATGAAATGTTGAGAGATTATTGCTAACAATTTAATAAAACCCCCCCAAAATATATTTTTTAAAGATTTTTGCCATAGGGCGCATGTGCTCCCCAGAGGGAGACAGTGAGAGGGAAAGTGAGAAATCACTCCCCAGCGGGATAACCACGCCCAATCCCTTCTCTTCCATGTTTCTCCTGGAGTTTTGGGCATGCATGCACACACACCCGGTGTGATTTTCAAGCTGCCAGGTCTGGGACTCAAATCACAGTCAGCCATATGGGAGTACACCACTGAAACCACTATGCCACCTGTTGATCCCAAAACTCAACATATTAATTTGGGTGAAGTAATTAATTTGAGAAAAAAATCACTCCATAAATTACTAGGAAAAAAAATGAATCATAGGCTAAGCAATATTTTACTTTTTTATTTGCTATCATCATTATTAATTTGACCAGAGAGAAACAGAGAGAGAAGGAAAAGTGAGAAAGCAAGCCATCAGTTCTGGGACGCTACCCATGGTCAGCCATATGAGAGTCCTGCACCTCATTCACCACGCCACCTGCCGGCTGGCTAAGCGATATTTTCAAGTAAGAGTCTGCAAATTTAAGATGTAATATTTAGCATATGTTATTTGCATCTCTAAAGGAATTAAGTCTCACATCGGCCACAGGTTTTCAGAAACTCCATCCCACGGTCGTCACTTTACTGTGTTAGTCAACATTTTTCATCCACCTAATCTTCTGATTAGTTTTTATTTTCTGGCTCAAGTATATCCTGCTTATGCTTCCTCCGACCCCCCCTTATGTCTTGCACACCACTCCTAGTAAACTTACTAGAGGTCAAAGTGGCTCTAAATCTTTTTTAATGGGATAACTTCTCAATAAACCTAAAGTTTACAGTCTGAAAACTGATTTCTTCTCTCTTTTTAAACAAATTCTCATACTGAAAAACAGATGACTTTTGAAAAAGCCCATAGAAATTCTTGCTGAGGACTTTTAACCTTTACAGCTAATCAACACGGAAGTGGCGACAGGAACTCCTCACATCTTGAGTCTCCACAACCCTAATCGGACCCCACGAAGGAAGAACCTTCCTTATATCCGGTCGGCGCCTGGGAGAGGAACTCCGCGATCATAGAGCTGGCCTAATGCCCGGCTAGAAGGGACCGGAAATTGCGTCTTAGCCCCGGGTCCTGGGGTTGGATCCGGCGTTCGCAGGCTCAGCCGGGCTGTCGCTGCTGTGAAGCTGATTTCTTCCGGCCGAGGGCGTGGTGGTTCTCGGAGTGGGCTGTCCACAGCTCCGGGCTAACTTTGGTACCGGCCTTTGGGAAGCCAAGCGAATTCCCTGGTCTCCTTATCACGAGGGACAAGGCCACAGCCTGAGGAGGCCGCGGCGCCGGCTAAGTCGTACCTGCAGGAGCCGGAACCCAGGCCCAAGCCCGGGCCCCGGCCCAAACGGGAGTTAAAGCAGGAAATGGCGGATGAAGCGTTGTTTTTGCTTCTCCATAATGAGATGGTGTCTGGAGTGTACAAGTCAGCGGAGCAGGGCGAGGTGGTGAGTCAGCCAGTCGCCCTTGGGGGTCCCTTGGGGGTTGACACTTCTTGCCTCCCCTCAGTTCATTCTTTCGAGAACGGACCGGTGGCCACCCTACGCCGCCCCGGGTGGTGACAGACTGGTCCAGCTACGGGTAGCCTAAACCCTAAAACCTGTCTTTTGACATCATCCTTTTTAATTTCTTATCTCCTATTAATTGTGTTTTTTTTTTTTCTTTTTTGCCCGTCTCCATACCTTTATCATGCAGGCCACAGCTTTTCTTACTTTCATTGTTTATCATGATTTACAGCAAGGTTAACTGCAGAGCTGCCTTTGGCACGTTTACCTAATTTTGCTGCTCTTTTCAATACTTCTAAGGCATCCACTGCACAGACCTGTCCCAGCCTCTTCCCCATCTCTAACGCTCATTACTATTCCACACAACTGGAAGATGGAAGCCTAACGAGGTTTGAGATCAAAGAAAAGTTTGCAGGTGTTATGATAATTAGAAAACAGAATTTCAATTGTTTTAGAAAATATTTAATACTTATTAAGTCAGAGCTAGTTGTAGATGCTGGGCATGTAGTGATGAATGAAACAATGGCCCCATCCTCATGGAAATTACGTCTTCTTTTTTTAATAATTATTAATTTTATTATATTTTATTTATTAATTCTTTTTTTTTTTTTTTTTTGACCAGAGAGAGACAGAGGGTGAGAGTGAGAGAGAGAGGAAGTGAGAAAGCAAGCCACCAGGTTCAGGACCCCAACCCTGGTCGACCATGTGGGAGTATCCAGCGCCTTAACCACCACGCCACCTGCTGGTCCCACATGGAAATTACTTCTAACATAGGAGTTCTCATTTACACATTGATTCTTTCACAAACTGTTCATTAAGCTTGTAGTGTGTGCTTGATACTGTACTAGATAAACAATACCCGTGTCTCACAGTCTTTGGGGACTAGGGACTTAATAAATAAATAATTAAGAATTGGGTGATAATTAGGTATAGAATTATGTAGTTAAAATAGATTTTAGAAGTAAGATATTCCACAGTTATGTTCAAGTCAGGAGACTTTCTGTAATACTATTTATAGAAAGGGGTAGAGGATGATAATAGGAAAGACATCCTAGGCAAAGGTAAAGGCATAGAGAGGTATGAAATATGGGTAAGCATTTGCTGTGACTATATTGAATGGGGGAAGAGTGAAAGAATTGGGAGCTGAAATTGGAGCTTTGTATGATTAAATAATTTGGACCCTCAGAGGGGGATTTTTTTTTTTCTTTTAATTTGCTAGAGGGCATGGCGTGCTGCTAGACAGAGACAGAAAGTGAGAAAGCACTCCCTACCCCCTATAGGCTGTGATGACACAATTATTTCTCTAGTTCTCCCTTCTTTTGGGGATTTTGGGCATGCACACAAATGCACCCAGCATGCTCTTCAAGTCACTGATCTGAACTCAAACCATGCCGTCAGCTAAATGGGATCTTGTCACTTTAAACTGCTGCAAGGTGGCCCCTCAGTGGTTGATTTTTCAGGAGGTGAATGATGAGGCTTATTTGCATTTTAGAAAGATGGGACCAACAGATGGTGTAATGATTACATTGCTGGACTCCCATGTAGTCAACTGTGGTTTGAGTCCTCCTAGACCTGGTGACTTAAAACTCATGCCAGGCATGTGTATGCCCAAGATCCTAAGAGGAGAATGGAGGAGAAGGAATTGCAGCGTGGCCATCTCCCCAAGGGGTGATTTCTTGCTTTGGATCTGTCTCTCTTCAGCGAGCACACTTGCCGTATAGCAACAATCTCTCTTAAAAAAAAAAAAAGAAAGATATAATAATTTAGTGTTTGGTCTAGGCTAGAGAAGGAAGATCCTTGTAGTCAGATCCATTGTTGTGGAAGTCACATCAGGAGATGATGAAGATTTAAGACAAGGATAGAAAAGAGGAATAAACACATATGAAAAGTACCAAGTACTGTTTATAGGCCTTGATTAATTAAGTATAGGAATGAGAATTAAAAATTATCCAGAGGATTTTAACTTAAGTAGCTCTGGATTGGATGGTGGTATCTTTTTTTCTTTTTGGAGAGGTTTTTGCTATAGGGCTCGTTTACTTGTCAGAAAGACAGAGAGACAGAAAGCGAGAAATCATCCCCCCGGAGGGATGGCCACGCTGCAATCCCTTTTCCTCCATTCTCTTGGGATCTTGGGCATGCACACACACGCGCCAGGTGTGAGTTTTAGCCACCGGGTCCAGGACTCACTGCGGTCAACTACGTGGGAGTCCAGTGACATAGCCATTATGCCAACTGCTGGTCCTGATGGTGGTGTCTTTAATCAGAAAAGGGAATAAAGAGGAAGAAAGAGAGAAAGAGGTGAAGACAATTATTTTGGGGCAGGTTGAAATTTGAGGTACCTCTTGGTTTTGTAAGAAAAGGTGTTGCCACTTTATAAGCCACAAGAAAGGCACGATATGTTGGAATGTATCATTAGGAAGACATATCTGGGAGAATATTGGAAATGAAATAAATTCTAATTCAAACCCACCTGTAACAGATCTTTCCTAAGTTAAATCTTTGACTTTATCATCATCATCGTTTGTTGTTTGTACAAAGCTAACCTTTCCTTTACCCTTTTCTCCAGATGATTAACAATACACCTCCTTTTTTTTTTTTTTTAAGATAAATTTTTGCTATAGGGCACATGTGCTCACTGGAGTCAGAGACAGAAAGGAGAAATAACCCTCTGGGGAGGATGCCCATGCCACAATCCCTTCTTCTCTGTCCTCCTCCCGGGATCTTAAGCACACACACATTCATGTACACATACCTGGTGTGTTTCAAGCCACTGGGTCTGGGACTTGAACCACAGTTGGTCATGTGAGAGTCCAGAGCAACAGCTGCTACTCCACCTGCTGGTCCCCTGCTGCTTCTTTTTATAATCTCATGTTTCTCTGGGTTAACCCAAAACAAAACTAATAGAACTATTCTACTCATGACTGATATTTTCAAAATGTGTGCTAATCATATAAGAAAAAGGAAATCCATGTTCTGAATAGAACTAAACTAAAAATAACTTTTCTTATTGCAGTATTTATGGTGGGGAAAAAATTGAATGTACATATAAACAATTTTTTAAATAATTAATTTTATTACTATTATTAATACCATTTTTTAAATTTGACCAGAGAGAGAGTGTGCGCGTGCATGCAGGTTGCCAGGTCTGAGACTCAAAGGTGGTTGGCCATTTTGGAGTCCAGTACCTTAACAACTACATCACTTCCTGGCCTCTAAACAATAATTTTTAAAAACCCAGGTAGGGCCAGTAATGCATAAGGGAACTGAATCTCAAATGCCAACCACACAGTTAGAATCTTGGTCCCAGCAGATTGAAAAAAAACATGCTGGGTGTGTGTGCGTACCTTTGTGTATGTACATACATACGTACGTGTGTGTGTGTGTACACATGTTCCAAAGTTGGACAGGAAGGAGAAATGGAGAAGGGATTGTAATGTGACCATGCCCCAATCTGGGGCTCAGTGCTTTCTCCCTTTCCTTTTCTCTGTTTTTCTGTCTCTGGCAAGCACATACACCCTCTGGCAAATAAAGTTTTAAACATATTTCAGAGGAAAAAGTGTAAATATTCACATTGGTGGGACCAGCAGTCGGCATAATGGCTATGTCGCTGGACTCCCGAGTAGTCGACTGTTGTTCGAGTCCCGGATCCGGTGGCTTAAACTCATGCGGGCGCATGTACGTGCGTGCCCAAGATCCCGAGAGGAGAATGGAGAAGGGACTGTGGTGTGGCCATGCTCCCTGGGAGGTGATTTCTCACTTTCTGTCTCTCTGTCTCTCTCTGTCTTTCTGGTGAGCGCACACACCCTATAGCAAAAATCTCTCAAAAAGAAAAACAAAACAAAACAAAACACATTGGTATTTTTAGTCAGTATTTTAAAACAATTTTGAACACTAACATACTGGTATTTTAAAAAAACATTGAAAACTATTATTTTTTTAATAGGAAAATGGACGATGTATTACTAAGCTGGAAAACATGGGGTTTCGAGTGGGACAAGGATTGATAGAAAGGTGAGCAGTATGGATTTGAAAATTTTCTTCCAGGTAGGTTATGAACCAAGATGATCTATTTGAAAAAAGTGCATAAAATTTGAGATATTTGAATTTTAATTTCCTAATATTGACTCTTCTTTAATTTACAGATTGAAATATCATTTTAGGTCTAATGCTATATTAACTTGATTAGTCAAATTTTAATATTTAAAGAAAATAAATATTTTAGAGTTTTTCCTGAAAATGTTGCTATATCGAAACTACTATCTAGAACCTCATTACATATCCTACATTAAGGTCTAGCAGTTTCTTTAAATTGAAAGAAATTTTGTTTTATGAGTATATGAGTGAAAATGCCTTAGATTTGTTTAGGTATTCAATAATCTCCCAATTTTTATATCAGTTTTTACTGTTCTTTTCTTACTACCTGAATAATTGACCTCTGAGTATATTTTATATTGCAATACTTTGGTCATGCTTAGCCCCCCTGAGATAGGTAGATTTTTTGGGTGGAGGGGGAGAGACAGAGTTTCATTGCAGTCTTTCTGCTCTATTCTCCTCATTAGCTAGGACCCACAGGTACATGATACCACAATTGGTCTGTATTTGTTGGACCTTCCTTGTGATTTTAGTTATCGTGCAGTGGCACCCTCCTGCTTGTATCACCTTAACTAGTCCTGAAATTTTGACTATACTGATAGACTAATATGTCATTAGACTAATTTTAGGCCCCATAATTATGTAACAAAATGTGAATCCATGTATAGGATCTAGTTTGCCTAATGCTTTTCACTTTATGACTATCATTTAATGTTCAGTGCTGTTTTGACATTAGAAAATTAGTTAATAACTTGCCTCTCTCGTTTTCTTTGGAGGAAAAATATCGTATTACTTCTAGTTATTTTTTTAGGTTTACAAAAGATACGGCAAGGTTCAAGGATGAGTTAGATATCATGAAGTTCATTTGTAAGGACTTTTGGACTACAGTATTCAAGAAACAGATCGACAATCTAAGGACAAATCATCAGGTATTTAGATTAATTGCAGCCTTTTTTTTTTTTAAGTGTTTTAAAATAAATGTCTTATTTTAGTTGTTTACTAATTATTTAAACTGTTTACAACTTAAAATAATTTCTGGTCAACTTTTTATGTTACCAATAAATCATTACATTATGTTAAATTTTTTAAAATAGCAAGTGTTGGTGCCGGCAGGTGACTTGGTGGTTAAATGTGTTGGATTCCTACATGGCCAACTGCAGTTTATGTCCTGGACCTGCTGGCTTGCTTTCTATTTTTCCTTTCTTTTCTTTCTTTTTTTTTTGTGAGAAGTTTTTGTTATAGGGCACATGCACTCACCAGAAAGAGAGAGACAGACAGAAAATGAGAAATCACCCCCGAAGGGGGATGGCCACGCTGCAGTCCATTCTTCTCTTGGGATCTTGGGCATGCAACATGCATGCACACATGCCGGCGTGAGTTTAAGCCACTGAGTCTGAGACTCAAACCATGGTCGACTACACAGAAGTCCAGTGATATAGCCATCTCGCCAGCTGCTGGTCCCTCCCTTTCCCTTTCTCTTTCAAATTACAAAATAATAACAAATAATAACAAAAGAATAATAACAAACAATAATAAATAAATAAATCTTTAAAAAAAATGCCAGGGTTTTAGGATTTGGTTTCTTAATTATTACTACTTAGTAGTAATAATATGCAGAACCACAGATACACTACACTTATGTTTCTGAGAGTAATTTCTTTTTTTTTTGGAGAGATTTTTGCTATAGGGCACGTGCGCTCGCCAGAAAGACAGAGACAGATAGAGAGACAGAAAGCGAGAAATCACCCCCCCGGGAGGATGGCCATGCCACAATCCCTTCTCCTCCATTCTCCTCTCAGGATTTGGGCATGCATGCACATGCGCCTGGCATGAGTTTAAGCTGCCGGGTCTGGGACTCAAACCACGGTCGACTACATGAGTCCAGCTTCATAGCGATTACACTAACTGCTGGTCCCTCTGAGAGTAATTTCTAAGATCAAATTTATAGAGTGTTTTTTAAGTCTTAAATTACTCTTAGATTGTTTATTATCACTCCCATATTTTCTATTCTTATAATACTTTATTACTGAAAAATTAGTAGTAATAGGTGTTGTGATAGGTAAGGCAGTGAATTTCACATGACTGGCTGTGTGATTTGAGTTCTGGACCTGGAAGCTTGAAGGACATGCCTGGTATGTGTGCATGAATGCTTGACCAAAATTCCAAGAAAAATGGAGGAGAAGAGGTTATGTTATATTCATCTCCCCCTGGGTAGGAGAGTGATTTTGCTTTTCTCTCTCTCTCTCTCTCTCTTTCTCTCATAGCTCCAGCAAGTGCACATGACCTATAGCAAATTAAAAAAAAAAAAAAAAAAGAATAGATTACATAGAAAACTATGCATTTAAATAGAATGACTTTATTTTATAAACTTCAAAGACATACTTAGAGTTGATTTGGAATTTTGATTAGGTAAAAACTTAAAATACTGTATCTTTGGCCACTCAGTGGCACAGTGGTTAAGGGGGCTGGATTCCACATGGTCAGTTTGAGTCCAGCAGCTTGAAAAAAACACCAGATCCTTGTATGTGCCTGCCCAAAATCCTGAAAGGAGAACGGAAGAGAAAAGATTGCTATTTGGCCATCCCATTTGGGGGTGTTTTCTCACTTTCCTTTTCCTGCCTTCCCATTGTGAGCACACATGCCCTATAGTAAAGTTTAAAATAAATAGAATAATTTATCTAGTACTACAAATAGGATTTTTTTTTTTTCATATCAGAATACCAGCCTTAGCTTGGAATTACTTGAAATGCTAATGGGAAGAAGTATCTTTGATTTTAATTTTTAGACATTATTGAATAAGAGGTAACAGCTAGTTTCACAGGGTCATGTTTTTATTTTAGAATTCTTTAATTGTGTTTATTATCATGATTATTGTTTTTAGTTTGGTTTAGGGTACATAGACTCACCAGAGAGAGAGAGAGAAAGTGAGAAAGCAAGAAAGCAAGCCACCAGGTCCAGTTCTCAAACTGCAGTCAACCATGGGAGAGTCCAGTGCCCCAACCACCACGCCATGTGCTGGCCCCTACATAGTCATATGTTAATAATTCCTTTTCTCTAGACTATGAGCTCTTTCAGGGTAAGAACTATGTCTTACATGTCATTATATCCTTAGTGTATACAGATAACTAGAAAATATTAATGTTCTAAAATTCTGAACTCAACAACTCTTCAGCTTGAACTTTGTAAAACTACTTCATTTAAAGAAAATTTGAGGGACCAGCAGATGGTGTGGTTATGTCACAGGACTCCCATGTGGCCGATATGGTTCAAGTCCCAGACTTGGAGGCTTGAAACTCACACCAGGTGTGTGTGCCTGCATACCCAGGATCCTGAGGGGAAAATGGAGAAGGTATTGTGGAGTGGCCATTCCCCGTGCGGGGAGTGATTTCTCACTTTCCCTCTTACTGTGTATGTCTGTCTCTCTCTCCAGCTACCACACATGCCATAAGGCAAAAAACTTAAAGAGCCAGTAGGTGGCGTGGTGATTTAGGTATTGGACTTCCTCATGACTGACCAGAGTTTAAGTCCTGGATCTAGTGGCTTAAAAGTCATGCTGGGCGTGTGTGCGTGCACGCCCAAAATCCCAAGAGAAAAATAGGGACCAGCAGATGGTGTGATGGTTACGTCACTAGACTCCCATGTATTCAGCTGTGGTTTGAATCCCGGACCCAGTGGCTTAAAACTCAGGGGGAATGCGTGTACATGTGTGCCCACCAAAATCCTGAGAGGAAAATGGAGGAGAAGGGATTGTGGCATGGCCAACCCCCCCCCCCCCTTGCAGCATGGCGATCCCCCAGGGGGTGATTTCTTGCTTTCTGTCTCTCTGGTGAGCGCACACACCCTAGAGCAAAAATCTCTCTAAAAAAAGGAAAGAAAAGAAAAATAGAGAAGGGATTGGATTGCAGTGAGGCCATCCCTCCTGGAGGAGAGTGATTTTTCACTTTCCTTTCACTATTTCTTTCTGGTTAGCGCACATGCCCTATGGCAAAAACCTTAAAAAAAAAAAAAGTAATAAATGAAATTAAATATTATTTAAAAGAAAAGTTAAAAAATATGGACTAAATACAACTTTGGATGTTTTCGTCTTTTTGAAACAGGGCATCTATGTACTTCAGGACAACAAATTTCGTCTACTTACTCAGATGTCTGCAGGAAAACAGTATTTAGAACATGCATCTAAGGTATTTAAAGGAATAATAGGTTGGGGTTTTCAATAAGAAAAGAATAGAGGGGCCCAACAATGGTAATGCAACTGAACTCACATAGGAAAGGTTCTGAATTTGTCTTGGGACTTCCTTGTGTATACTGGGTGTGCATGCATGCCCATGATCCCAGACAGCTAAGACCAGAGGTGGATCTCAGCATGAAGATCCTATTGGATACTTGTCTTTCCCTCTTTTCCTCTCTCAGATGAAATATTACAACTTGAGAAAAAAGAAAAAAAAAAGAGTAGAACTCCAAGGGCAAGTACTGTGGCAGTTAGGTTCTTAAATTAAAAATAGGTTTTAAGGGACTGGCAGGTGGTGTGGTGGTTAAAGTGCTAGACTCCCATATGGTCAATCATGGTTTGAGTCCGGGACCTGGAGGCTTACTCTCTCGCTTTCCCTCTATCTCTCTTTCCTTCTTTCTCTGGTCAAAATAAAAAATAATAATAAAAATTATTAAAAAAAAAAAATAGGTTTTGGGACCAGCAGGTGGTGTGGTGGTTAAGGTGCTGGATATTCCTATATGGCCAACCAGGGTTTGAGTCCTGAATCTGGTGGCTTGCTTTCTCACTTCCTCTCTCTCTCACTCGCCCTCTGTCTCCCTCTGGTCAAATTAAAAAAATCAATGAACAAATAAATAAAATAATTTTTAAAAAGTAGGTTTTTTTTTTGTTTTTTTTTTTGAGAGATTTTCACTGTAGGGCGCGTGCGCTCGCCAGACAGACAGAGAGAGACATAGAGACAGAAAGCGAGAAATCACCCCCCAGGGGGGATGGTCACGCCGCAATCCCTTCTCCTCCATTCTCCCCTCGGGATCTTGGGCACACACGCACACGCGCCTGGCGTGAGTTTTAAGCCACCGTGTCCGGGACACGAACCGCGGTCGACTACGTGGGAGTCCAGCGACATAGCCATTACGCTAACTGCCGGTTCCCCAAAAGTAGGTTTTAAAGTTCTTTTTTGTTTCTTTAGTTTTCTGTTGGGTTGTCAGAAAAGTCATGATGCATTCTTGCATAGAAAAACAGAAAAAATACATCATGACTCTTCTGACAACCCAATATGAAATAGACATGTTCATCATGTTACATTGACTTAATGCTATACTCTAGCTGAATGGGTTTTGGAAGTCAATCAAAGAAGCACCACAGCTAAATACCAGTAAAAAAGTATATTTAAGATAGATTAGTTGTCAAATATAGCATAGATATGTGAATAAAGATACTCAAATTTATAAATTTGATATGAACAATACAAAATTATTCACCCAGAATTTGTATGTATGGTCTCTTCTAGTAGATTTTTTAAATTGTTGATATAATTAACATTTGTTGCTAAGAATACAAACTTTTTTTTGAGAAGTTTTAGCTATAGGGCACGTACACTTGCCAGAAAGACAGACAGAGAGAGAGAGAGAGAGAGAGACAGACAGACAGACAGAAAGCGAGAAATCACCCCCCAAGGGGGCGGCCACACCCTTCTCCTCCATCCTCCTCTTGGGATCTTGGGCATGCATGCACACGCACCTGGCACGAGTTTTAGCCACCGGGTCTGGAACTTGAACCGTGGTCAGATATATTGGAGTTCAGTGACATAGCCATTAAGCCAACTTCTGGTCCCCAAACTTTTTTTTTTTTTAAGAGATACTTTGCTTTGGGGCATGTGTGCTCGCCCTAGAGAGAGAAAGGAAGAGAGACAGAAAGAAATCACTCTCCAGGGGTATGGTCATGCTGCAATTTCTTCTCCATTCTCCTCTCGGTACCTTAGGCACATATGCACACAATGCCCAGCTTGGGGATTTTTGGTTTTTTTTGTTGTTTTGGAGAAGTTTTTGGTATAGGGTGTGTGTGGGCTTGCCAGAAAGACAGAAAGTGAGAAATCACGCCCTGGGGGGGGTAGCCTCTCCACAATCCCCTCTCCTCCTCTTGGTCTTAGGCATGCAGGCACACAACGCCCAGAGTGAGTTTAAGCCACCGGGTCCGGGACTCAAACCACAGTTGACTTAATGGGAGTCCAGCAACATAGCCACTATGCCAACTGCAGGTCCCTGTTTTTTTTTTGTTGTTGTTGTTTGCTTTGGAGAGGTTTTTGCTATAGGGCGCGTGCACTCACCAGAAAGACAGAGACAGAGAGACAGAAAGCGAGAAATCACCCCCCAGGGGGGATGGCCATGCCGCAATCCCTTCTCCTCCATTCTACTCTTGGGATCTTGGGGATACATGCACGTGCGCCTGGCGTGAGTTTTAAGCCGCCGGGTCCAGAACGTGAACTGTGGTCAACTACATGAGAGTCCAGTGATATAGCCATTGCGCTAACTGCTGGTGCCTTAAGAATTACTTTCTTATTTACCTTTATTTATTTCTTAAAGTATTTTAATTTGACCAGACAGGGACAGAGAGAGAAAGTGAAAAAGCAAGCCGCTAGTCCCAGGACTTGAACTGCAGTTAGCCATTTGGGAGTCCAGCACCCTTAAACACCATGCCACCTGCTGGCCCCCCCAGCTTGACTTTTAAACCACGAAGTCCAGTACTCAAATTGCAGTCAACTACCTACATGGGAGTCTAGTGACGTAACCATTAGTACAGCTGCTAGTCCCAGAATACAAACTTTTTTTTTTTTTTTTTTTTGGAGGGCTTTTTGCTATAGGGGCGCGGCGCTC